GAGCCTGACATATACAGAGGTGGATGCTCACAGCTAGTCATTGAACTGATCATGAGGTTCCCAATGGAGGAGTTAGAGAGAAGACTGAAGGAGCTGAAAAGGTTTGTGGTCCCATGGGGAGAGCAACAATAGCAACCAACCAGAGCTCCCAGGGACTAAACCACCAGCCTGGGAGCACACAGTGAGGGACAGGAGAGAAGTCCAGAGGGTCAGGAAAATGAATAGAAATATGTAGCAGTGGAGAGTGGAGAAGTAGGAGTAGCCACTAGAAAGTCTCAAATGCCAGGGAAGGGAGAGGTTCCCAGGACCCAATGAGGTTGACATTAGCCAAAATACCCAATAAAGAGGAGATAAAACCTTTAGGGATGACCTCCAGTAGATAGGCATAGCAGAGGGATGGGGCCACCTACCCATCTCAAAATTTTTAACTCAGAATTTTTCTTGTCCAAAAGGAAATGGAGAGACAAAAAACTGTAGCAGAGACTGAAGGAAAGGGCATCCAGAGACTACCCCACCTAGGAATCCCATTCGCAGACATAAAACTTCTTGGCATCAACAATGACACTATTGTTGATGCCAAGAAGTGCTTTCTGACAGGAACCTGGTATATCTGTACCCTGAGAGGCTGGGCCAGTACCTGACTAATACAGATGCAGATACAGTCAACCATTAGACTGAGCCAAGGGACCCCAATGAAACAGCTAAAGGAAGGACTGAAGGAGCTGAAGGGGATTGCAACCCTATAGAAAAAAACAATAAAATCAACTAACCAAACATCCCAGAGCTTCCAGGGACTAAACTACCAACCAAAGAGTATATACATGGATGGATCTATGGCTCCAGCTACATATGTAGCAGAGGATTGCCTTATCTGGCATCAATAGAATAGGAGGCCCTTGGTCCTGTGGAGGCTTGATGCCCCAGCATAGGGTGATGCTAGAGCGGTGAGGTAGGAGTGGATGAGTGAGTGAAGGAGCACCTTCTTAGAGACAAAGGGGAGAGGGTGGGATTGGTGAGTCTGTGTGGGGAGGAGACCTGGAAGGGGAACATTTGAAACATAAATAAATAAAATAACCACAATGGGAGGAAAGGCCCTTGATCCTATGAAGGCTCCATACTCCAATGCAGGAGAATTTGAGGGTGGGGAGGCAGGAGTGGGTGAATGGGTGGGTGGGGGAACACCCTCATAGAAGCAGGGAGAGGAAGGATGGTATAGGGGATTTCTGCAGGGATGAAGGGGATAACATTTGAAATATAAATAAAGAAAATATCCAATAAAATTTAAAAAATCACAATGCAATAATGAAAAATAAAATAACCATTAAAAAATAAAAGCATGTTGAGAAAGCCATGAGGATCAAGTCAGTAAGCAGCACCCCTCCATGGCCCCTGCATCATTCTGCAGGTTCAAACCCTACTTGAGTTTCTGCCCTCACTGCTTTTGATGATGAACTATTATTATGGAATTGTGATTGAAATAATCCCTTTCCTTCCCTTAAGTTGTTTTTGGTCATGGTGTTTCATCATAGCAATACTAACTCTAACTTAGGCGTGTGTGTGTGTGTGTGTGTGTGTGTGTGTGTGTGTGTGTGTGTACACTCTATCATTTTCTATTACTCCTTTGAGACATAATGTCTCCTTGAATGGAGTTCCCCTACCCCCCAAACACACCCATAGGCTGACAATCAGCAAGCTCTAGAGATTCTCTTGTCTTTACCCCTTCCCCAGCACTGCACAGATAGGGAGCCATACCCAGGTTTTTAAGTGGACCCAACTAAGTCCTATACTCATGAGCAAGGACTTAGTTTAAGGACTTCATTTATTTTTTGCAGAATGTTTTGCCAAATACTCAGATCTCAATAACATTAGTCTTCTGACCAGTTGTATTTTTAAAAAAAAATCAATGGTGTTCCATAATGAACATATTAAAAATATACAGCATTTTGTGATAATCAATAAGTTAATATAGATTATTAAAGACAGGAAAATAAAATAATATTTTGTATCAGTCCTTTTTGGGGGTGGGGCACAATGTTGAACAGTTATATCATGATACCTAAACAATTCAGTGCTGTTAATTTGTGGTAAATTGATAGCAATTTTCCATACTGTACCCTCAGTGTGACATGATCAATTGGTTAATTTTCATCTCCAACTTTCTTTCAACTTTAAATTTCAGGGTATTTTTTCCAGGGAGTCCTCAGGAACAGATAGTGAAGTCTCAACTCTATCTGAGGAAATCAAGGGAAGTTTTGCTAAGAAAACTTATTAGGCCATGGAGACTTGGATTGTCTTTGCTTTCTATTAAGCATTAATCATAATTATGCAATATGAAGCACAACAGAAAAGTGGTGATTTCATAAGACAGCTCCTTGCTTACTCTTAGAACAATTCTTAATGCCAAGGGACAAGCTCTCTCAGGACTTTTAATTTTTACAGCCTCATGATTTTTAGAGCCAGCTTTCAGAAGGTGAGAAAGGATTTTCTGAAGACAAATAATTTATCCCTTTGGATTCAGTGCAAATAACTCATCCTTGAGGACTGATCCCTGAACTATTATCTCATATATTTTTCTATTATTTACAGTCATGAGAAGCAGTGCCCTGAAAATACCTTTACTTGTCCAGTCAGGTAAGAAAATGAAACCAGAGTTAGCCTGGAAAGTTGTCCATACTTTCTGTGCTGTGATCTGCCTCTTGCTGGCACTAGAACAAGTGTTTAAAATTTAGAGCTAGGGCTTGAGAGATGGCTCAGTCATTAAAGGCTAGGCTCACAGCCAAAAATATAAAATTTAGAGCTAGTTTCCCATTTTATAATGGACAAACTCCCTATTACAGTTCATAAAAACATTTTTCCACATTTTTACCATCATATCTTATTCTCATTTCAACATGACTGGGTCTTTAGGCACCATCCAAGGCAAATCTGTAATCTCTAAATATTGAAACAGTAGTGAAAAAAAATCATATCACAGAGAGAGACGTGTGGCAAAAAAAAATTGTTCCCTAAAACACAGGAAAGTTTGGTCTCTTGTTTGATTTATTGTTTCTTGAGGTTTTGGTATTTTTTTAAAAAAAATACATTCTTGATACAATTCTATTTTATGGATCAGAAAAATTAAAATGACGGTTAGTGTTTAGAAAATGATTTGCATTTTTAAAAATTACTAGTAAGGATTTTAAACATATTGTGCCTAGCTATCAAAGAAAGTTATTCTTTTGAAAGATAGCCTTTTGGTAACATGGAGTAGAGATTAATTCTAAAACAAAATCATCTCCATGGTAAAGCCAAAAGTGTCATGGGCTCTAGAAGTTTCCCTAGTTTCAAACTGGTCACGTCAAATCAACTTCCTCTCTAGAACTCTAGCCATTTCTGCTTTGGGAAGAGACTATGTATGTCAGTCTTCAGATTTCCTTCCAGTTCCTACTATCTACCCAAGTGTCTCACATGTCCTAGCTTGTCTTTCCTAAGATGTAAAAGCTACACAAGGCATCTATTTAACAAAAAGGAGTAGAGAGGAAGCTGCTTCACCAATCCTATCTGCCACTGCCAGTACAGCCAAAGATAGTGCTGGGCCCTTGATAAAATATCCAAAATAATTTTTATAGTGGTAATCAGTACAGATTTAAGTCTTGTCTTAAGATGAACTACTTATTTATAATTCCTGAAGAGTTAAATCATTCACTGAATAAAATATTTTTAGGTCAATTCAGCAAAAAATGAAGATGAATGTATTTCCTTAGTAGAAGGCAGAGTTTCTTATTATGAAAATTAAGGTTAGATAACAAAAAAAAAATCAAGGAAGGCTGGCAACCTATGGCAACTTTGAAGAGAGATGGAATGAAGCAGACAGTACTTTGGGATGATACAACAGCTGCCAGAGGCCTGCTAGAGGAACTGTGGTGAAGGTAAGTTCAACTTAGAATTTCTTAGCTGAAAGGTGGACTTATTTCTGTCAAATTAAAAAGATTTAAAATATGTCCTAAGACAAAAGTAGGATTTCTAGAGACCAAAGGCATAGATACTTGAGAAGAGAGTTTTGGTAAAACAAGGAAGGAACTTGAGCTCACAGAAAGTAGTCTTGTATTTAAGGATGTCTAGAAAAAGTCTGACCACAAGTAAACAAGAGTATATACAGCAACATTTTTCATTGAAGATGTCACTTGATTTCTTGTTTGAGAAAATGTTCAGGATCAAAATGCAGTAAGACAATAAGCCGATCATCTACTACAACAATGAGACGTTCAAAAAACCTCAAATTGACAAAAAGTATGTGATTTTTGAGCTCCCCTCTGCCTTTCCAATAAATATGGCTCCTTGACTTTTTTTTAGGCATGTGGGCCAGGACGAGATTAATAAAATAGTATCGTCAGCATTAATAATCTAAGAACAAGTGACTACTGCTATTTTATGGCATTTCTACTTCTTCAGAGGCTTTATGATAAAACTATTTAACTCTTGATTCTTACTCTCATTTGATGTTTATACTCACAAGACAAAGTATGGTAAAACAGAATCTTTAAACAGCAACATATCACACAGCTGACATAGAGATAAATGAAAATTATATTCAAATGTAGATGTTCATAGACAGAGAACATGATGTATGGACAAAACGACACCAAACTCTCAGAGAATGAAAGTGTTAATGATGAATCTAAATTTTAAATATAGTTAAGTCGGAAATCATGGCTGTTCAAGATCTAAACAATCAAATATTACACAGGCTCTGAGGCTGGCTTACACAAAGTATTGATTTTTCTTCCTTGACCTCCTCCTCTTCCTTCTCTTCCACCTCTTTCTCTTCCTCCTCTTCCTTCTTCTTCTCCTCTTCTCCTCCTCCTTCTCCTCTTCCTCCTTCTCCTTTTTCTCCTTCTCCTCCTCCTCCTTCTTCTCCTCATCCTCCTCCTATCTAAGCAAGAAAATTCTAGTCTGGAAAAATTGATTGGCCTCATCAACTCCTGGCTGTGTTCTACAAGCTATGTTGTTTCTTTTAGGTGATGTTGAATCAAACCTCTGTCACAGAATTTGTCCTCTTGGGAGTGAGAGACTTACAAGAAACACAACCTTTTCTCTTTGCTATTTTCTTCACCATCTACTTTGTCAATATAACTGGGAATGGAGCCATCCTGATGATTGTCATCTTGGACCCAAGACTTCACTCACCTATGTATTTCTTCCTGGGAAACCTAGCATGTCTAGATATCTCCTACTCCACTGCAACAGTGCCAAAGATGCTGGAGAACCTCCTCTCCACAAGCAAAGCAATTTCCTTCTTGGGATGCATAACTCAGCTTCATTTCTTCCACTTCCTGGGTACCACAGAATCTCTGCTGCTGGCAGTGATGGCATTTGACCGCTTTGTGGCTATCTGCAAGCCACTTCACTATTCTGTCATCATGAATTGGCAGATCTGTATCCTTATGGCTGTGACCATCTGGACCATTGCTTTTCTCCATGCCTTGCTTCACTCTGTAATGACATCTCGTTTGAGCTTCTGTGGTCCCAATCACATTCATCATTTCTTCTGTGATGTTAAACCATTGCTAGAGCTGGCCTGTGGGAACACTGAGCTCAATCTTTGGCTGCTCAATACAGTCACAGGCACCATTGCCTCAGTCCCCTTTTTTCTGACATTTCTCTCCTATTTCTACATCATCACCTATCTTTTCTTTAAAACCCGCTCTTGCAGCATGCTCCACAAAGCACTGTCTACTTGTGCCTCTCACTTCATGGTTGTTATTCTGTTCTATGCTCCTGTTATCTTCACCTACATTCGTCCCACCTCAGGCAGCTCTCTGGATCAGGACAGAATCATTGCCATCATGTACAGTGTGGTCACTCCTGCTCTCAATCCACTCATCTACACCTTGAGAAACAAGGAAGTGAGGAGTGCATTGAATAGGAAGATGAGAAGATGTCTCTTACTTGAAGAAATCTAAAGAACTCTGCTGAGCTGTAAATAAACAGGCAATAAGAAAGTAAGATATGTTTTATCAACATGTATTCCTGAAATTAAGATATGTTTTATGTAAAATAGATGCACACATATATTATGAACAACTTGAATGATGGAAAATATATGGAAAAACATATTCTAATGCTATTAAACAATTAAAGCAAGAGGAATTTAAACTTGACAGGTTCTAATCATAGAATTCAGTTCCTGAATTTAATTTGGGCATATTAGTTTATAACATTGACTTGGTACATACTGTAATGTGACTTTTATGTTACTAGGTATAGAGATATGTGTATACTACCTATGTTTAATATAATTAGCAATTACAGTTGTTCATCTGTCAACTCATATTAGTTGGATAAATATCAATATGCTTTCTTATTTTGAGGGATTATTAAAACTATGGTTGCTCAATTGAAAAAGTTAGTTGTAAATCACAAAAGAATTACTAAAAACTTTAGAGGCAAACATTTCTATCAAACCTGATTCTGATTTAGTTAAACTTGAGGTTTTGGTGGTGAGTGGATAAGATTTTATTTTAAAATTTTTATTAGTGATTATTATTTTTGAGTCCAGGTCTCCCGTAGCTCAGGCTGTCCTTGAATTCCTTACGTTCTTGCTTCCACCTCTCAATTGCTGGGATTATAGGTATTTACTACCACACTCAGTTTTATAAACAGTTTAGGCAATATATCTTATTAACTAAACATCAAATATATATATCAAAATAAGGATGTTTAGTTATTTTACATCTGACTTCCTATACTTTTCAAAATCTGGTTAGTAACTTCTCTTGTCTCAACAACATTCTGAGTGTTGAATAGATTAGCTACCACTATTCAAGTAATGGAATACAGTCCAAGGTGAGAGTGCTTCTTGTGATAGATGTTTTAAAACAATTTTATTAAATATTTATATTTAATATTTATACTCATATAATGTGTTTATATCTAATCCACCCCTTATTCCTTATTATCTGACTCCTCTGCAATATACTCTTCATGTTTACCATCCTACTTCCTGTACATTCTCTTGTGAAGAAATAGATGTCTGTGTACAGTATTTGCTGGACACTAGACATGAGAACACAGTTGTGCACATGAACTCACAATGGCTGGGACTGAACACACAGTCTTTCAGAAGAATAAGCCAGACAAAATTCCATGAATTTCCACCCCAGCTGAAGATCTTGGGCAGTAAATAGCTACTTGGAGAAGGAGAGTTTATTTTCTTGAGGAATGTGAGCCATGCTATCTAATGTGTGAGTGCACACATATGCACATAAAGGTAGTACAAAATGGATTCGATGTTTATTCAATGAGATTTTTTAATGAAACCCATGGAGTCCACAGACATACCCCTCCTAACAAACAAAACAACTAAAGATATTAAAAAAGAAAACACTGAAACACTAAACTTTATGGAGAAGATCTTTGTCCTTGGTCAAAAGAGAAAAGCTCTCTCCTTCAGTTCCTGCAATTGCACTACAAGGCTGCAGAAGCTAGACCTGAGTATGGAAGTTCTTTGATGATGATCTAGGGAAGGTCCAATGCAGATGGTCACCATTGTTAGGTGGTTAGAACCAGCAAAATCCTTCCTGCTGAGCCAGAATTCACCATAGTTTTGATCTAAAGATTCAAAGCGTTTCTCAGAATCATTTAGTAAATGTGTCTATTTTCTTACTATCTAGTTATTTCAGTTTGGGTTCAATCCAAATAACAATGATTGTTTTTAAATGAGAGATGGCACCCTTATAAGACTTTCTTTTTCAAATTAGTACTATAAAAATTTTAATTTAAATTCTTTTTGAAGGACAGCAGAGATGGTACATTGATTAAAAACACTGGCTGCTTTAGCAGCTGAATGTCCTTCAACTCCAAGCACTGATATGGTGACTCACAACTGCCTGTAACTCCATTTTCAAGCCATCTGATGCCCTCTTCTGGCCTCCTGGATGAATGTGGTTTATAGACAAACATGCAGACAATACTCCTTTCCCTTCTTCACACATGAAAACACTAACAATAAAATCTTTTGAAAACTCTTCAGATTTTATTTTTTTTAAAAAAAATCATGAAGGCTCAGATTTGGTGTTTTTTTTATTGCCCAGGTTGAGTGACGGGTATTTGTTTATTTATTTGTTCATTCATTTATGTTTTCTGCAGGTCTACCTGGTGAAGCTGAGTGCCTCCACTCACTTCTGTGAGATTAAATGTGCTCTGATTTTATCATTTTCAGGAAAGCTAGCTGTGGTTCCTAATTTAGGTAACATCAAGATTCCTGCTCGGTGGCACATCATGTACACTTACATACTGTGAACAGTGAGTGAGTCTCCAACGTTTCTTGAAGACCTATCTTTATAATGACCTTTTAAAAAATATCTTTTTATTGATTCTTGTAAGTTTCACATTATGCACCCAAATCCTACTCATCCCCATCCTTCATATCCGCCCTTTGCAGTTGCAACCTACATACCAAATAACACACCCACAGAGAGAGACACACACAGACACACACACAGAGAAAGACAAACACACACACACTCACAAGCATAGAAAACATCTCATCATGGAAGCTGTAGTATGGCACAGTGTCCACATAACTTCTCTGGCACATATTCATTGCAATGATTGGTCATCTCTGGCTTCTGTGAAACCATCAACACTGGATCCTCACTGGGTCTCCTCCTGGTTATCCTGTTGTTACCCTGTGTATTGGAGATCCTGCAGCTTTGGATCAACAGGACTGGCCCTTTCACAAGTCCCAATGTTTGTACATGATATAGATTTTGGGGTGGGCCAACTCAGAGCCCTTTATCTGAGCCTGGTCATTGCACCATCAGGATAAGCTTTCCAGCATTGCTCTGCTTAGACCACCCAACGACATCTGCAGGAGGCAGGGTCAGTTCTCCTGCAATCATGCCCTCTGGGCTAGCTCAACCATACCCATACATTCAGACAACTCCACTGTGTAGCCCAGTGAAAGCACAGGGCCTACACTCCCAACTGCTGCATCCTGTGAGGGGATGGTTCACCCATGTGAACTCAACCAGAGCCAGTTCTGTTTTTTTCTTTTCTTTTTTTTTTTATTGAATGCTTTATGTACATTTCATATGTTACCTTTACCCCATACCCCCCCTCCACCCAGGAACCCCATATCCCCTCACCCCTCCTCCTGCTTCTCTGCAGATGTGCCCTTACCTACCCCCCTCCCACCTCCCCACCCTCAAATTCCCACCCCCTGGGGCATCCAGCCTTCATGAGACCAAGGATCTCTTCTCCCACCTATGCCCGACAGGGCCCTCCACCCTTACATATACAGCTGGAGCCATGGCTCCCTCCCTAAGTGATCCCAGGCTGGTGCTTTAGACCCTGGGAGCTCTGGTTGGTTGGCATTGCTGCTCTCCTCATGGGGCCGCAAACCCTTTCAGCTCCAACAGTCTTCACTCTAACTCCTCCATTGGGAACCCCATGATCAGTTCAATTGCTAGCTGTGAGGATCTGCCTCTGAAGATGTCAGACTCTTGCAGACCTCTAAGGAGATATCTATATCAGGCTCTTGTCAGCATGCACTTCCTGACTTCCACATCAGCATCTACCTTTGGTGACTGCACATGGGATGAATACCCAGGTGGAATGGTCTCCAGACAGCCCCTCCTTCAGCTTCTGTCCCTCACTTTGTCTCCATATTTTCTCCCTTGAGTACTTCAGAGCCAGTTCTAATGTGCAGTCAGCCAAGGTACAGAACCAGCTCTAAGTTCCCCAACTGATAAGGGGCAAGATCAGTTCATCTGCCCTCTTGACCCCAGCTCTCCCAACTGCCTCAGGTGGGGAAGGTGAGACAACAGAGAGCATCTATGCCCCTGATGCCAGTTCACAACAGAGGTGTGGAGGGGCCAGCTCCCAATGCTCTTTCCCTCAGGACTGGATCACTCTGTCCGATCCACAGCTCTATTGTGAAGCAAAGATGAACTGCAGGGCCTGCTCTCCCAAGTATTACAAGTGGTGAGAGTGAGGAGGAGGAGGAGGAGGAGGAGGAAGAGGAAGAGGAGGAAGAAGAGGAGGAGAAAGAAGAAGAGGAGAAGGGTATCAGCTATGTACTTATACCACCTCATGGCAGAGGAGTGGTGGGGCCAGCTCTCCCTCCTTCACACCCAGAAGACCACTTAATGTAGTGCATAGCCCCAGGGTCAGCTCTGTTGTGCTGCCCAGACAGGGTACACTATCCATTTTCCCTAGTGCTTCCCCTGATGAGGAGCTATTCCATTTTCATGATTCCATGGGCAGCTTGGCTAACTGTATCTGTGCCACCATACAGCAGACCAGTGGTGGGAGGGTCAGTTGTCATACACTCACAACTTCAGAGCCAGCTCACTTACACCACCACACCACCAGGGCCAACTCTACTGTGCTGCCTGGGCAAGGTTCAGGGCTTGCTGTCCCTGGTGCAACTGCTGGTGAGACATGGGACCATTTCTCAAAAGCACTGCAACCAGTGAGGCACAGGGCCACTTCTACACAGCTACTGGAGATCTAAATGGTCCCTGTCTCTTACCTGATGAGGAAAGTCTCCATGTTCTCTAATGGTAATGTGGACCATGGACATTGACACCACCTCCTGCTGCTGCTTAGTTAAGTATTCAGTCATGATTCTCAGTGGCAGCTCAGGCTAGCACCTCACCAAGGCCCCAGTTGGCTTGGGTAGCCACTCACAGCAGGCCACTTCTCTCCACCCTTGACTCTCCAATTCCATCTGGCTTCATAATACTCAAGCTGCTCCACTTCTCCTTCTCTCTCATCTGTCCACCACATACTTGCACATTGTGGAGGCTTCTGCTGCAGGCTAACGCCTTGGACGGTGTATTACTGGGTGACTTCCTCTGATTGAGCTTCAATGGTGAGGTGCCAGGCAAGTATCAATGGCTTGCCTATGCCAAGGACTGAAGGGCAGATCTGTGGGTGGCATGGCTGCTCTACATTG